GCAGTGAATGATGTCGGTCAATCTGAACCACTCACCAGTGAAACAATTACTGCTAAAGACCCTTATTGTAATCTTTGTATTTATACTTCAGACTTTATCACTGTTGATTCTAACGACTTTTAGCTATTAATTCTATTAATATCGTGTATTTGCCAGTAATCCGCATATTGTTTTAAGCCACTCCTGACAAGCCCAAAAATATGATAGCAACGGATATCAGCAAGGATTCACTGTCACTCCAGTGGGAAGCTCCTGATAACGACGGTGGTTCTCCTATTGAAAAATATGTCGTAGAAAGGCGCAACAAATCTGAAAAAAGCTGGAATGAAGTAGGAACGGTACCATCATCAGAAGGGAAAGGCGTGTTCACTCTTGTTGATGATGCAGTTGTTGAAGGCAATGAATATTACTATCGAGTTCGTGCAGTTAATAAAGCCGGTCCTGGAGATCCGTGCGACCATGGACGAGCTTTCAAAATCATTGCTAAGCCAGGTAACTTCGAAGGAAATTAAACACTAAACTTACTCAAGTTTAATGACTTTCGAACTATGCATGTACCAGAGAACTGAACTGTGAATCATGACTTGTTGATTTTTCAGAACCACCTGCATTCCCAAATGGTGGTATTTACGATTTGATACTAAAGGTTGGTGAGACAATCAAATATGATCTGATAATCGTTGGTGAACCGATGCCTGAAGCATCCTGGATAGTAAACGACAAAGCAATCAAACATGGGGGTCGTTGCAAAATGATTACTGAACGTGGCAAACATCTTCTGAAGGTTTTTCAAACTCACTTTTCATCTGTTGTATTAAATAAATCTTATAAATATCTATGAATTATCGATTTAATTATATTGTTATCAAAACTCCAATAAAAGTTTCAATTGTAGATAGAAAATGCTGCAAGAACTGATTCTGGAAAATATACCCTAACTTTAAAAAATGACAGTGGCAAATGTGACTCGACAGCAACAGTAACCGTTGTTGGACCACCAGATCAACCTAGAGGACCTTTAGTAATCTCAGATATTTGCGGTGATGGTGCTACATTGGCATGGCAACCACCAGATGATGACGGTGGAGAACCTGTACAGGGTATGTTTCTACATAAATTTTTTGATGCTCTTAAACTTTTGCACTAGAAGATGATTGCTGAATTCATCAAAGCTTAGATAAATTATTGCTTTGCAGAATATATTGTGGAAGCACAAGATATGGATGAGAAAGGAAAGTTTGCAGTGGTGGGTTCGGTACCTGCTTCTCAAACTCAAATGGTTGTACACGGCTTGAAGGATAAAGGAAATTACAAATTCAGGTTTGTATATGAGAATAAGATGACAAGTAAGTGTCATTTTTCCTGGCCGACAACTGTAAGATCATGGTTGAGTTATTTTTATTAGATTTGAAATGAATTCAATAAAGATTAAATAATATATTTTTTAATAAAATTGCGGATTTTTTTAATGTGCTATGTTGATCATTATGAAATCATAGGAATATTACAAAATGTCCTGAAACAAAAATGTCTAAAAGGAAAAACACAGGAATATTACAAAAATTTTCAATTGCAGAGTGAGAGCGAAAAATAAGGAGGGTGAATCAAGTCCGTTGACTGCAGACCAATATGTGCAAATAAAAGATCCGTGGGATGAACCTGGTAAACCAGGCTGTCCTGAAATCACAGACTACGATGCTAATAAGATTGATATAGCTTGGCAGCCACCGGTTGAAGACGGCGGTGCACCAATTGAAGAATATATTATTGAAATGAAGGATCCAGTAACTCAAAAATGGAATGAAACCGCCCGATCACCAAGTGCCTTGCCAATACTTACATATCCTATTGTTTCCATTCCATCAGTATAAAATATTCAAAATTAAATATGAGCTTTTGGAACTTTTTAATCCCGTTCAGTTTTGCTTTTTCAGCAACAAATGCTACAATCATGGGTTTGAAAGAAGGCAATGAATACCAATTCCGAGTAAAAGCGGTTAATAAAGCTGGACCTGGACAACCAAGCAAACCCTCTGAGAGACAAGTTGCTAAGCCTAAATTCGGTAAATTTTGATGTTCTATATTTTGTTCCAAAATAAAATTCTTTCCAAAATAACGAATTTTTCTAACGATTAGAAAAAGACTTCGTATATATAAATAATTTTAGTACCGGCATGGCTGAAAATGGGTAATTTGAAAAATCTGACTGTAAAGGCAGGCCAGTCAGTTAAATGGGACGTGGAAATTGGGGGTGAGCCAGCCCCTGAAGTTAAATGGCTCAAGAACGACGAACTACTGACAACAAACGAGTCGTTCGAGGTCATGTTTACCTACTGGAATTTTTCTTCTTTTTTTAACAACTTGAAATCTTCCCTTGACCTCAGGAATTTTAAATTTATTATGATATTTTAGATTGAAATGAAAAGGCATGGACACACTTTGCTATACATATCATCAGCGAAACGCTCTGACGGTGGCAAATATGTTCTTAATGTAAAGAATTCAACTGGAGAACAAAGTGGAGCTGCCGAACTGATTGTCTTGGATAGGCCAAATCCACCAGAGGGTCCCTTAAAGGTTTAAAATTTTCCTGTACGAATTTTATGTTCAGGAAGCTCAATGTTTGAGAAAACGATGTCGAAATATTAGTCATTCTTTAGCCTATTCGTCAACCAACTCCTCTGTAACATTTTCCCAAAGCTTCTCATTGACTCTTTCAAGCCTGTTATAAGATTTATTTTTTCTATTTGTGAATTAACTCAGAACTCTGGAACGAAGTATTATTAATGCATGATCTTTCGGTATCTAGATATCAGATGTCTTCGAGAATAAGTGCAAGCTTACATGGAAACCACCAGAAGATGATGGTGGTGAACCCATTGCATACTATGAAGTAGAGAAGTTTGACGAAGAAGTGGGAAAATGGACTCAATGTGCTAAAGTCAAGGATACCGTGGCGCATATCGATGATCTGCAAAAAGGACATACTTACCAGTTCCGCGTGAAGGCAGTGAATCATGAAGGTGCTAGTGATCCACTATCAACAGACCATTCCATTCTAGCAAAGAATCCATATGGTACGATTCTAGTTATTTTATATCTGATATGGAGATTCACGACCTTCTTGGGCGAAAATTAGGAGAATGCGAAAGATTTCGTAACAAAAAATTTGAACGATTGCTGTGAAATTTTTCCATACTTAAGAGATCGAATTATTCTTTTCTTAGTCATTTCTTGTCAGTTTTTTCAGATGAGCCAGGAAAACCAACAACTCCTGAAGTTACTGATTGGGACATTGATCGAGTAAATCTGACTTGGAAGCCACCAGATAATGTATGTTTTGACTGTGGTTTGGATTCGGGGTGTTTAATATGGAAATTAGTTTTAAGGAAAATCACCTTTATTAGCTGTCAGATACTGTAACACAAGCCTACATTTCAGGATGGTGGTGACCCGATAAGTAGTTACGTAGTTGAAAAAAGAAAAAAACACGCTAAAGACTGGGTCGAGTGCGCTAAAACAAATGGTCCTGAGTGTGAAGCTAGTATTTTGGGTCTGAAAGAAGGCGAAGAATATCAATTTCGAATTCGAGCAGTCAATAGAGCTGGGATAGGCGAACCATCAGACCCGAGCAGAAAAGTTATCGCTAAACCTCGCAACTGTAAGTCTTCGAAAATTTAAATTCTATGTGATATGTTTCAAGAGTTTGTAAATCGGAACTTAAAGACGTCATATGGTTTTTGAAAGTGAGAGTAGTTTTTTGAAAATTTATTTGATTCAGTGAAACCACATATTCATCGTGAATCAATGAAATCGATCGTAATCAAGGTAGGCCAAAGTGTAGAATTCGATGTTCCGGTCAGCGGAGAACCTCCGCCAGAAAAAGTTTGGATATTGAACGATAAGCCGATTGAAAGCGATGAACATATTATGGTATCTTTAAATTCAGTCGAACTAAATGAAAAAGTAGCACGGAAATTAGAGATAAAACCTCGGGGACGGCATACTAAAATCACATGGTTTGGAAAAAGTTTACATCTGACAGTTACTGGAAAATAGTTCTTTTAAATTAAAGCTTCAATTAGTTCGACAAGTTGCTCAATAATAAATCCGATCGTTCTCAACATAAACATTCTCTTTCAGATAACAAATGAAGATTACAGAACCGTATGCGTACTAAAAAATGCAACAAGAAAGCACACTGGGAAGTATACTTTAGCTGCGTCTAATATTAATGGGACAGATAAACATGCGGTGGATGTAACTGTCATCGGGAAACCTTCCGCACCCGAAGGTAATTTAATTTTCACTTAGCTTATTTTGCAATATGAAGTCATGTTCAAAACTTGAAATCTATAAAGTTTCTAGGACCGTTAGAGGTATCAGACATTCATGCGAACTATATGAATCTGGAATGGGAGCCACCGGAGGATGATGGTGGTCTTCCGATCGATCATTATGAAATTGAGAAAATGGACATGTCTACTGGTAGGTGGGTTCCATGTGGACGATCAGAAAATTGCAAAGCAACCGTGCAGAATCTACAAGAAGGCAAAACTTATCAGGTTAGGCTAATTTTGTTTATTCAAGACTCAAACCAGGATTCAATGTGAAATAATTGGATGTGTTAACAACTGCTATGCCAAATTTTCAGTTTCGTGTTCGAGCCGTCAATAAAGAAGGAGAATCGGATCCACTTGGTACAGAAGGAGATGGATTCTTGGCCAAAAATCCATATGATGTTCCAGGAAAAGTGAATAAGCCAGAACTAGTTGATTGGGACAAGGATCATGTTGATTTGCAGTGGGAAGTTCCAAATGATGGTGGCTCACTGATCGAAGAGTATGCTTTGGAGATAAAAGATAAGCATGGAAAGTGGACAGAAGCAATGAGAGTAAGGATTTATTGATCCATTCTGTAATATTTATTTGGAAATTATAGTGAATTTTAAGGAACTTGTTTATTTTAGCAATGGCACATCTGTATTATATTTGGATTTTAGATCCCTGGTTCGGAAACATCTGCTCGAGTTGGAAACTTGAAGGAAGGTGAAGAATATCAGTTTCGTATCGTTGCCAAAAATAAGGCTGGTTATGGCGAACCATCCAATCCCAGTGACCACATCCTCATGAAGCCTAGACATTGTAAGCCGTATGCTTTCAATCATTTTTATCAGTCCTAGCTATCGAAAACAAAAAACTCCTATAAAAACTTACTCTGCTTTGTAGCAAGTTTTTTTCTGATTTTTCGAAAAATTTTATCTCGAAATAGGTGAAGTACTGTTATGAATGTGTTCCATTTGTAATGCAGTGGAAGAAGCAGCAGCAGTTTGTGATAACAGATCTTTGCAGTGGCGCCTCATATTCATCGTGAGGATGTGGAAGATATAACTGTCAAAGTGGGGCAGCCTTTGCGACTCATTATCCGGATTGATGGAGAACCACCTCCGGAAGTTACCTGGAGTTGTAACGGGGAACCAGTTGATTCAAATATTGTTATTGAAAATGAGGATTATATTACCAAGTTAACTTTAATGAAAGCAACCAGGTGGGTAACTGAGCTTTCACAAGTAAATAACTATAATAAAGAAATAAAAAGTTTTTTTGAGATGCCCGAAATCAATTTTTAAACGAAGAAATCATTCGGAATTTTTATAACATTATAAACACTTTTTAAGGAAACAGTCAGGATCCTACACTATAAAGGCTACAAATGAAAGTGGATCGGACAGTGTTACATTTGCGGTCACGATAAAAGGGAAGCCTGGAAAACCAAAAGGTCCTCTACAAGTCAATGATGTATTTGAGGATCGCGCAACCTTAAATTGGCAACCGCCGGAAGATGATGGTGGCGAATCCGTCGATCACGTGTGTCTCTTGTTTAAATTCTTTTTACAGGATGAAATTTTAGAAATTGTAGGAAAATTTGATTTGGTGTTTGCTATGTTGATATCCTTCTATTGCCATCACTTTTGTTTGTTCAAACCTTAAATTCTCAATGGGAATCAGTTGCCTTTATATAATTTATCTGGAATTTCAGTATGAAGTGGAAAGATTGGATACCAAAGATGGTATCTGGGTACCATGCGGGAAGTCCAAAAATATATCATTCGAAGTTGAAAATCTCATCAAAGACAGATATTACCAGTTCCGTGTAAAAGCAGTCAATTCTGAAGGCTCTTCCGAACCTTTGGAGACGGACAGTTCTATCCATGCCAAAAATCCATTTGACAAACCGGATAAACCTGGAAAACCGGTACCAACGGATTGGGATAAGGATCATGTTGATCTTGAATGGACTAAGCCAGTAAATGATGGAGGAGCGCCAATCGAAGAATATGTGATTGAAAAACGAAGCAAATATGGACGGTAAGTATTTAAAAGTGAGTTACTGTGCCATGTAATAAGAAAATCGTTGAAATTTCATTGCAATTCATTTTTTCCTCAATCTTCCTGAATCAGTTTATATTATTCGTTTGTTGATTATGTACGCGTTTTAGATGGGAGCCTGCTTTAACAGTACCCAGCGAGTCAACAGCAGCTACCGTCCCGAATCTTACGGAAGGTGAAGAATATGAATTCCGCATTATAGCTGTCAATAAAGGTGGTCCGTCGGAACCGAGTGATTCGAGTACAGTTGTTGTCGCAAAAGCGCGGAACTGTAAGGAAATTTTTCCAAAATCATGATTTTGTTTGAGAACATTGAAAATATCTCCTCTATTTCGAAATATTTCCGAAAGTTAAAAATAAATTTAAGCAAAGACGATCACGTATTTGCTTGGATATTAATGAGAAATTTGTCGAAACTTTTTTAAGTGGCACCAGAAATTGATCGGAGCACGTTGAAACCAGTGAAGGTGAGAGCGGGACAAATGGTTACATTCGATGTCGCAATTAAGGGAGAACCACCACCGACAGTAACTTGGATGAATGGAAACGGACATGAAATGAGACACGGTAGCCGTATCAAGCTGGACAATCCAGATTACCGGACAAAGCTGCAAATACGAGCATCAGAAAGGGGTGATAGTGGTATATACAAAATCCATGCTATTAATCCAAATGGTGAAGATGAGGCTACTGTTGAAATTAATGTCATAGGTATGATTTTTTAAACTTACTTAAGCTTCCCAAAATACTCGCAGCTTCACCCAAATTTGAAAAGCATGAATTTACTGCAGATTTCTCATTCATAACAACCAATAAAATTATTGCTTATGTTGCTATGCAGTTCCATCAAAGATTTGATTTTTTTTGAAATTCCAGATAAGCCAATGCCGCCAGAAGGTCCACTAAACGTAACAGATATCTATGCTGATCACGCTACCTTGGACTGGAAAGCTCCCATAGATGATGGTGGTTTATCAATTGATAATTACGTCGTGGAAAGATTCGATACATCCACTGGACATTGGATTCCATGCACTAAGGTGTATATCACATTTGTCTGATTTAAATTTATTGAAATTTGTTTTTTTTTTCTCAAATCCCTTGTAATAAATTCGATTGGTTAAAATAGATCCCAATAAATTAAATCGGTTCAAGAATAGGATCAAAGTGATGCATCATAGAGTGTAACGAAGTACATAGCGAAAACAGGAATGATACAGACACACTGAACGAAACTAACTGTATTAAAAGCGTCTTTTTATCAGGCAGAATAATGAATAATTTGCAAGTTGATTAGTCAAATAATGCATTCCAGGTGGATGGTGGACAAACAACTGCTGTTATTGACGGTCTTATTGAAGGACATGAATACAAGTTTCGTGTGTCAGCAGTTAATGCTGAGGGTGAATCTGATCCTCTTGACACCTTTGGAACTATCCTGGCAAAAAATCCGTATGATGCACCAGGTAAGTAGTGTTAACATTATTCGTTATATTTGAGCAATTATAAAAGTGAATATGAAATGACATCTTCACGAAACCAAAACTTGCACAGATCGCATGTTCTTTAGTCTTTGCTGTTTAGTGATCAGATGAGTTTGCCTATTTTCAGGGAAAACCGGAAAACCGGAAGTTATCGACTGGGATAAAGATCACGTGGATTTGAAGTGGACGACTCCTATAAATGATGGTGGTGCACCCATTGAGGGTTACGTAATTGAAATGAAGGAAAAGTTCGCACCCTTTTGGAAAGAAGTTAAGGAAGTACCAGCTGACCAACTTAGGACTACCATACCTAATTTGAAGGAAGATTCCGAATATGAATTTAGGATACGGGCAAAAAATAAAGCTGGTCTTGGTGATCCATCAGATCCAAGCGATTCCGTAATTGCCAAGCCACGACACCTGGCACCAAAAATTGATCGTACTGCAATCGAAGAAATCAAAGTACGGGCCGGTTCTAACTTTCAGCTCACTATTCCGGTTTCTGGTGAACCACCCCCAAGGGTAACGTGGATGTTCTTAGGAAAATCACTGGAATCATCAGAGAGAATCAAGGTTGAGAATCCAGATTACAAGACCAAATTTATCGTGAAACATGCTCTTCATTCTGATACCGGTACCTATATAATCAAAGCTGAAAATGAAAATGGTACGGATACTGCCGAAATTAAAGTGTTCGTATACGACCGACCAGGTGAGCCTAAAGGTCCACTCAAAGCGGATAATATTCACAAAAATGGTTGTGTTCTCAACTGGAAAGAACCTGATGATGATGGCGGTGCAGAGATTAACAACTACATTATTGAGAAACAGGACGTGAGAACTGGGCGTTGGACTTTTGCGGGTGAAGCAGCTACTACTACTATGGAAATTGATGATTTAATTCCTGGGCATGAGTATAAATTTCGAGTTAAAGCAATTAACAAATACGGAGAATCTGATCCACTGGAAACTACTCAAGCAATTATTGCAAAAGATCCATTCGATACTGCCGGAAAGCCAGGTACTCCGGAAATTGTAGATTGGGATAAGGAACATGTAAATCTTCAATGGAATCCTCCCGTGGATGACGGTGGTGCTGCGATCGAAAAATACATCATTGAAAAAAAGATGACAAGCGGTGATTGGGAATATGCCGAAGAGGTACCCGCTGACCAGACCACCACAACGGTAGGCCATTTGAAAGAAGGTGCAACCTACCAGTTTCGTGTAAAAGCAATTAACAAAGCTGGAGAATCGACTCCTTCCGATCCAAGTCGTACCTTTGTAGCCAAGGCGCGTAATTTACCACCAAAGATTGACCGGTCCAATTTGAATGAAATCCGCATAAAAACCGGAGGTACTATTGAATTCGATGTTAAGGTTGAGGGAGAACCACCACCGAAGATTTCTTGGCTCAACAATGAAATACCATTAACAACCTTTGAACGTACGAAAGTCGATAATTCTGCGGATTACCGTACGAAATTAGTTACTGTGGATGCGAAACGTAATGATTCTGGTATCTACAAAATTGTTGCCACTAATGAGAACGGTAAAGACGAGGCAGTGGTGAAGGTTGTGGTGCTCGACATTCCAGGAGCTCCGAATGGACCTTTGGAAGCTTTAGATATCACGAAGGAAAGTTGCACAGTGAACTGGAACCCACCTGATGATGACGGTGGGTCACCTATTTCACATTACTTCGTTGAAAGGCAGGAGGCTAGTGGTCGTTGGGTACCGTGTGGTGAAACTTCGGATACCAGTTTACGAGTCAGCAAACTTGTGGAGGGGAAAGAATATAAATTCCGTGTAAAAGCTGTGAATCGTCAAGGCGAATCACAACCTTTAACTTCATCTTATCCAATAATTGCCAAGAATCCGTTTGATGAACCTGGTAAGCCCACGAATTTGACTGCAACGGACTGGGATAAAGATCATGTCGATCTGGAATGGAAAGCACCACTGAATGACGGCGGCGCACCAATTGAAAACTATATTGTAGAAAAGAAAGATAAATTTGGTGACTGGGTGCCATGCGCAACAGTCCCTGGAAATATGAATAAAGCTACAGTAACTAATTTGATACCAGACGAAACCTATCAATTCCGAGTGCGGGCAGTTAATAAAGGTGGGAAAGGAGAGCCTTCGGATCCTACTGGCGAAATAATTGCGAAACCAAGAAAGCTAGCACCTAAAATCAATCTAGCTGGACTTTTCGATATCCGAGTTCGAGCTGGATCACCAGTCCACCTCGAAGTGAACTATGAGGGTGAGCCAACACCAAAAGCGTCTTGGAAAATTAACGAGACCCTCTTTACCGGTACTGACAGAATTGAAATTATTACGAAAGATAAAACCAGCGAAATTATGATACCGTCATCAGTTCGTGGTGACACTGGCACTTACACGATTCAGGTTGAGAATGAACACGGCAAAGATAAAGCATCCTGTATCGTGACTGTTCTAGATGTTCCAGGAACACCGGAAGGACCAGTGAAAATCAATGATATCACGAAAGAAAGATGTACACTAACTTGGAAGCCTCCAGCCGATGATGGTGGCTCCGATATTATGCATTATATAGTCGAGAAAATGGACACGACTCGTGGTACCTGGCAGGAAGTAGGCCATTTTCCGGACTGTACCGCTAAAGTAACAAAATTGATTGATAGAAAAGAATACAAATTCCGTATCAAAGCGGTCAATATGCAAGGAGAGTCAAAACCACTGGGAACACAAGAAATGATTGCCAGAAATCAGTTTGATGTTCCACAACCAACGTCGAAACCGGAGATCACCGATTGGGATAAAGACCGGATCGACATTGCATGGAAGCCACCGACCGATACTGGTGGACTGTCGATCAAAGAATACATCATTGAAAAGAAGGAGAAAGGCAGTCCAGTTTGGATTGAAACAGGAAGAGTTAATGGAGGTGTCGCAGCTTTTTCAGCTCATGGTTTGAAACCTGGATCAGAATACGAATTTCGAGTTATTGCAGTGAATGAAGTTGGTCCATCCGATCCATCCGAGCCATCAGATGGTCAAATAGCTCGATCAAAATATGTGATACCCGAAATTATCTCTCAAATACGGAAATTTAAAATCAAAGCAGGTTTATCGCTGACGGTAGAAGTGGAATATATTGGTTCTCCGGATCCATCGGTAATCTGGGAATTCAAGGAAGGTGAACCATTACCTGAAAACCTTTTGTTGAGTGGTAAGAATGGCGTGCTAACAAGTACAACAAGTTTTTTCATACCATAGGGACTTGGACCAGTTAAGGCACAACGACTAGCCGTCCGATTAGGGATTGTTTCACGTTCTTCAGCTGGAATTTGCCTATCACAAAGGATTATTTCAAGTTCATATTAAACTCTTTTGCAATTTAGCAGCAATATTTCATCGATTTAACACTA